AGATGGAGTTTCACCGTGTTAGCCAGGATGGTCTCGATCTCCTGACCTCGTGATCCACCCGTCTCGGCCTCCCAAAGTGCTGGGATTACAGGCTTGAGCCACCGCACCCAGCCATATTCAGATTATTTTAAAAGGAAATTAAACTCACAGATATAGCCAGGAGTAGATGGATTTTGTGGGGCTTAAAATATATGTAAAATTTAGGGATTACTTTAAATAATAATAGCAATATGAATCCAAATTAGATAGGAAAATAAAATATTTATTTGAAGTGATAAAAAATCACAAAGCTCACACATGAAAAAGCTGATAGGTGCAATAAACATCATCAAATGGAAGAAACAAACAAGATTTGATTAGTGACTCCCTGGCATCCCTCTATCAAACTTATTTTTTCTGTATCTCTTGGCTGCTACCCCTTGATTATTGCTTCCCATGAAAATGATTTCCTGGCCGGGCGCAGTGGCTCACGCCTGTAATCCCAGCACTTTGGGAGGCCGAGGCAGGTGGATCACGAGGTCAGGAGATCGAGACCATCCTGGCTAACACGGTGCAACCCCGTCTCTACTAAAAATACAAAAAAATTAGCCGGGCATGGTGGCGGGCGCCTGTAGTCCCAGCTACTCAGGAGGTTGAGGCAGGACAATGGCGTGAACTTGGGAGGCGGAGCTTGCAGTGAGCCGAGATCGCACCACTGCACTCCAGCCTGGGCAACAGAGTGAGACTCTGACTCAAAAAAAAAAAAAAAAAAAAAAAAGATTTCCTATAAATAGAATAGAAAGATAACTCAGCCTTCCCTTTGATGTGAGGTTCAGATTCGTTTCTCATCATTGGTTGGGGGCTGCATGACACATGTGGCCACCGTCATGGATGTGTGTGTGGTGATGCTGCCACAGGTGTCTGCCCCGTAAGCAGCGGCTCCGATAATTCTCCTTTGCGAGGTGGCCACCAAAGGAGCACAGAGCTGGCTGGGGCATTCGTGCGTGTTCATGACCGAGAACTTTTCACGCAGAGAGAAATTCTGTCCTGGCGTCTTTATTGTATAATAGATGCGTTTAAGGCTGTAGACTTGAAGTTTATATTTCTCTTTATGTAACACTCTGTTCATTGTTGATTCTAGTTTATTGCCTTGTAGCTACAAAGGGCAGGCTCTACTGTGTTGGTTCTGTGAAATTCCCCATGTTGCCTGGTATGTGGCCTACTTTAAAACTATTCTCGGTGGCTCAAGCCTGTAATCCCAGCACTTTGGGAGGCCGAGACGGGCGGATCATGAGGTCAGGAGATCGAGACCATCCTGGCTAACACGGTGAAACCCCATCTCTAAAAAATACAAAAAAAAAAAAGCTAGCCAGGCGAGGTGGCGGGCGCCTGTAGTCCCAGCTACTCAGGAGGCTGAGGCAGGAGAATGGCATAAACCCAGGAGGCGGAGCTTGCGGCGAGCTGAGATCCAGCCACTGCACTCCAGCCCGGGCGACAGAGAGAGACTCCGTCTCAAAAAAACAAAAACAAAAACAAACAAAACAAAACAAAACAAAACTATTCTATGTGTCCTTAAGAAGAATTAACAATTAAGAATTGTTCACTGTAACAATTGTAACAATATAATTGCTTGGCTGTTGAGGCAGTGTCTTTGTATACTTTCCAATTTTGGTTCCAAATCTTTGACATTGGTGTGAACTTTTAAAACCCTTGGCCTCTGTTTCTAATGGAGAAGTGCTGGCGTCTCCCGTTCTGACTGGATTTGACCCCTTTGTTCTTCAGTCTGTTTTGGCTTCTTGCGTTTTGATGCAGTATGCCTTCAGATTCATGAATAGTCATCTTCTTGTGATTGTGCTTTTGTTTTCATGTTGGCCCCCTTTTCATCTATACTGAGAAAAAATAAATCATGCTTTTGTCTAACAAGCTTCTTTATGTATTTTGAAAATTTATTGTCCCTGCCCACCCCTTTCCACTTCCCTGTCTCCATACATCACTATTCTCCTGTGCTTAACATGCATCTTTTGGTTCGTATGAACCCATGCATGTGGGCACAAGTGTGTTGTGTGTGCATTTAGCTCTCTTTAAATATCCAGTAAAACAGAACCTTCCTCCCCCCATCAAAGTCTGCACCATTCGTGTTTGTACAGCCAGCAGCTAGTTTTCTTTGCTGGCATCATTTAGCCCCCTGACCTTGGTCTGCTATAGACTTGCTAAAATTCTCCCTTTCAAACTTCCTTTGATGGAAGCCAGTGAGTGGTAGACACTCTCAGTTGCTGTTGTTGTTGTTGTTTAATTTTTATTATTATTTTTTTCAAGATGGAGTCTTGCTCTGTTGCCCAGGCTGGAGCACAATGGCATGATCTCGGCTCACTGTAACCTCCGCCTCCCAGGGTCAAGTGATTCTCCTGCCTTAGCCTCCTGAGTAGCTGGGATTATGGGCGCATGCCCCCATGCCCGGCTAATTTTGTATTTTTAGTCAAGATGGAGTTTTACCACGTTGGTCAGCCTGGTCTCGAACTCCTGACCTCACCTTGGACTCCCAAAGTGTTGGTATTACAGGCATGAGCCACCACGCTGGGCCTCAGTTGCTTTTTAATGTCCAAGATGTCCTTATTTTGCCTTCAATATTTTGTGAAAGTTGTGCTGAGAATAATATTCAAAGGTAAATGTGATTTCCCCTGGGTCTGTTAAAGACGTTACTCCACTGTCCTCTGGAAGGTAGCGTTGCTATTGAGAAGCCTGCTGTCAGCTGACATCTGCGTTTTTGGTAGGTACTGTGGCTCTTCTTTCTGGTCATTTTGACTTTTTTCTCCTCTCCTGGATGATCTGCACTTCACTGTAATATTCTAGGAGTGGATTTCTCTTGGTTTGTAATTTAGATCTGGGACCTCATGTCTTTTCAATTCTGAAGAAATGTGAGCTATTACATTGCTTTGTTGCCTTTTTAGAAAATGTTTTTCTTTCAGAACTCCTATTCTGTTTATATTGAAGCCTCTTGATCTATTCTCCATGTGTGTTAACTTTGTGCATGTGTGGTCATGTGTGTATGTGTGCATGTGTGCATGTGTGCATGCATGTATGCATGGTGTGTGCACATGTTTATGCCTGCACGTGTGTGCATGTATGTGTGCATATGTGTGGGTGTGGGTGTGCATTTGTATGTGCGCACATATATGTGTGTGCATGTGTGGGAGTGCATGTGCATGCATATGTGTGTGTGTGTGTGTGTGTATGTGTATGTGTGTATGCATGTGTGTGTATGTGTGTATATGTGTGTGTGTGTGTCTGTGTGTGTGTTGTTTTCAGAGCTGCTGCACTCTGATTGGTTTCCTCCACTCATTTTATTCCTAGCTCCAGGCTGGAGACTGAATCTATCTGTAACACCTCAATTTCTCCTTCAAATGTTTCTGTCTTCGTTGATATTGTTAGTACTATCTTCCATGACACTAAGTCTCTTTTCTATTATGTCAAGTCTGGAATTTAACCTGTCTATTGAGTTTTTTATTCACTTTATTATTCATCTTCAAGATTTGTAATTATTTCTATTTCGTCTCTCCTTGTTTCTTATATTCTGGCCAGTTCTAATTTTACACTTTATATTTTTTAAATCTCTAGGCGTCTTGATCATACTCCTGCAGTCTTAACGTGTGTGTCAGACTTTCCTTGGCTGGTGTAAGTTCCTGTACCAATTGCTCATTTTTAGCCTGCCTTGTTAGTGTGGGTTTCCTTGGGTAATTTGGAAACCTGGCCTTGCTCAGTTCAAGGTGAGGATATTATGTCTCTGCATTTCTGCCTTTCTCCACTATCTCGTTGTCATTGTCCTCTGTCTAGCAGTGTTTCGTAGCCTCTGCCCTGGGTCCCAGGCTTCTGCTCTGCAGTGATGCGGAGGATGTCACAGATAAAGTCACCCCTTCCAACGATGGCTTGTCTCAGCTTCTGCTCTCAAGGCTGTGTCAATGTCCTCTTGCCTTCCTATGCCTACAGTGCTCCACTCAGTTATAAGAAGTAACAGCCCTGGGATGTGTCAGGAAGGGTTTCTCAGCCTCCTTTCTGGAGTCAGGGAAGCTGCTCCCATCACTGCCAGGAGCTGGACCCAGGCCCTCTCTGCCTGCCTTGGGACTTGGAGCTGACAGGCCCCTGCCTCTGCCCCATCACCAGCCTGTGCTTCTCCTCCATTCCTGGTTTCATGTGAGTGAGTGAGTGTGTGTGTGTGCATGTATATATGTGCACACATGCACACATACACACACACACACCTGCCTTGGTCTTGTCTGTCTGACCTATTGCTGCTGTGTGTGGGGGGCAGAGCGGTTCCTTATTGCACACCATGCTCAGCAGTGTGGACACGCTCTTTAAATGCACACGGTACCGTGTTCACACAGGAGGGTCCCACTTTTTCCACGATGAATCTGAGGCCAAGTAACCTGCCTAGAGATGCAGGAAGTTCAGCCGAGACCCAAGCCCATGGGCCTCAGACTCCAATCCGCAATCCCTTTGGCAGTGTGCACGTCAGCGCCTGTGGGATGGCTGGAGGGTGCCTGTTACTGCTGCACACGTGCCCCCACGGAGGCCTGCACGCCCTTCACTCCCTTCAGTTTCCTTCCAGGTGAAATCTGCAAACCCGCTCCTCTGGACCTGGTCCTGTCCGGATGATCCTCTGGGATTAACAAGCTGTTATTCAACAGCCTCCAACAACAATGGCACGTTATCTGCTCCATTGCAGAACTGGCCGTGGTTTACATCCAGGAAGGGATTGGTTAGTCACCTGTGCCAGGTCCCCAGGGGACCCTGAGTCCAGTGGTATATAGGGTGGCTGTGGGAGGAGTGACACAGCCTCTCTCAGCCTCAGCAAACGACCTGTCAGGCGGCCGTGGACTCAGACCCCAGAGATGAAGGCCCTGCTCCTGGCCGTCAGCCTCAGCCTCATTGCTGCCCTGCAGGCCCACCACCTCCTGGCCTCAGACGACGAGATTCAGGATGTGAGGCCCGGATGGGAAGGGTGGGCTGGAGGGGACATGGGGCAAGGTTGAGACTGCATGGAGACCCCCTACCTCCCCCATCCAAGGAGACCCTCATTTTTGGGTTGGGCGTTAAAGTCCTGCCCCGAGGGAATGATGAGATGGGGCAGCAGGGGTCTGGGCTGGCGGGGGAGGGAGTGCAGGGGCACAGAGGTGGCAGGACTGGGAGGGTGGGGGTCTGGCTGACTTCACTTCTCCCCTGGGGGGTGAGGGCTCCTGTGGTCCTGGCTGACTTGTAGGGGCTGGAGCCACCTTCGGGTGGGCCTGGGGAGGGTGCTGGGTGTTTCCTGGGTGGGTTAGATTGGGGAATGCTCCCCGTCTCCAGCCCTCGGGGTGCGGTAGAGTCTGGGGGCTGCAGGCCAGGGAAGAGTAGGGGAGGCTCTGGAGCGGTCGGCCTGAGCCTGATAGACAGGAACTTTCTCCAGGTGTCAGGGACGTGGTACCTGAAGGCCATGACAGTGGACAGGGAGCTCCCTGAGATGAATCTGGAATCGGTGACACCCATGACTCTCACGATCCTGGAAGGGGGCAACCTGGAAGCCACGGCCACCATGCTGTGAGTGTCTGCCAGCCGCCGGGCAGCCTGCAACCTGGTCTGGGGCCTTCCCTTTCCCCACCCAGGAGGGCTCTGGTGCTGGGGAGGTGGGCAGACCTGCTGGGAGGCCCCTCTCAGCCCCTCCTGCAATGTTTGAGGGCAAACTGTGCCACTGAGGTGCCTTGGCTGGAGGGGGCCTGAGGGGACAGAGGCCCCAGATCAGACCTTGTGGGCTACCAGTGGTACCACCCACCTCCTCCTCTGACTAGGGAATGTCTGGTGACGTGCAGGTCTCTTTGGGAAAAGGTGTTTACCCTTGACCAGAGTCAGAGACAGCAGGCAGGGCCCGTAGACTCGACTCACAGTCCTGGCAGTACATTTCTGTGGGAGGAGTGGCACAGCCTCTCCCAGCCCCAGCAAGCAACCTGTCAGGCAGCCATGGACTCAGACCCCAGAGATGAAGGCAGGGATGGGGCTTGCAGAATGACCAAGAGGGGGCAGAGGACGCCATGGAGAAGACTCCCTTGAAGTCCCTGCATAGAGCTCACCTGTGCGGCTCTCACCTGTGCTGCTTCCACCCACATGGCTCACATCTTTGACTTCTCACCTGTGTGATTCACCCACGTGGCTCCCACCTGCACAACTGTGTGGTTTAACCCCTGTGGCTCCCTCCTAAGAGGCTCCCTCCTGAGTGGCTTCCTCCTGAGTGGCTTCCTCCTGAGTGGCTCCCTCCTGCGTGGCTCCCTCCTGAGTGGCTCCCTCCTGAGTGACTCTCTCCCTCGTGGCTTCCTCCCCCGTGGCTCCCTCCTGACTGGCTCCCTCCTGAGTGGCTTCCTCCTGAGTGGCTCCCTCCTGCATGGCTCCCTCCTGCGTGGCTCCCTCCTGAGTGGTTCCCTCCTGAGTGGCATGCAGTGCCTGTGCTCCGGTCCTGGGGGCTGACCCTTAGGAAGTCACTGACCCTGGCAATGACCCTGATTTTTTTTTTTTTCCAAAAGCCCCTAACTGAACCTTTCCCTCTCTGGGCCAGATGATGATGGATGTGGGGCTTGTCCCTGAATGTCTCCAAAAGGAAGAATGCAGCTGGCGGGATGAGGCTCAGGCCCACGCCGCAGACACTGCCTACAAACCAGGCAGCCCGGGTCCCTCTGGCAGGAAATGTGTTGGGGGTGGAGGGGTTGGGAAGGCAGCTACCAGGAGGAGTGGTGCAGAGCTCCTGGCCACCTCGGGAGACCCCGGGAACTGCCACGTGTGACCCGAAGGGGCCGCTGGTGATTGGGTCTGAGATGCAGAGAAGCACCCTCCTCTATGGGCCTGTGGCAGACTCGGGGCCACCTTTGCAGGGCATTGCAGCGTGGCTGCTCCAGGGCCAGGGGAGGCACAGGCCAGGGCCACTTTGCCAGGGGGCTTCTGTTTTCCAGGATAAGTGGCCAATGCCAGGAGGTGAAGGTCGTCCTGGAGAAAACTGACGAGCCGGGAAAATACACGGCCTGTGAGTCCTGGAGCCCGAGCCAGACCCTGAACTCAAACACACGCTGGAACTGGGGGGGGCAGCCAGTGCCTTTTTGGGGTGGCCTTTTGGCCTGCTGCCCCTGACTCCACTAAAAGCCCACTCTCCTCTCCCATTGGTCAATTTGCTTTAGAGACTTGAACACCTGACCCCAAACACCAGGTGTGACGGGTTTATTCCGGGGTGGACCCTCAGGGCTTTCCCTGTAGCCCGGCTGTGGCTCTGGCAGGGCCAGGAGCAGAGTCGTATCTGGCTGCGGGGTACTGCACCCCAACTCCCACCTCCGCAGACCTCATACCCAGAGGAACCCCTGGTGACTCACTGGTTTGGGATGTGGCCGCCTCTCGGGTGCATCAGGTTCCTGGGAAGTGGGGGTCCCATGGCCTGGGGCTCAGGCCTGGTGGGGACCCTGGGTTGGAGAGCTCTGGGAGGCTGGGAGGGTGCAGGAGCTGCGGGGCTTGCTGGGCCTGGTGCCACAGGCTGTCCCGGGATCCTCTCTGAAGGCCCCGGTGGCTAATTCAGGACTGTGCTGCTGTCCTTCTGCAGACGGGGGCAAGCACGTGACATACATCATCAGGTCACACGTGAAGGACCACTACATCTTCTACTGTGAGGGCGAGCTGCACGGGAAGCCGATCCGAGGGGTGAAGCTCGTGGGTGAGTCCCGCACCCCCACCCTGCAACCCAAGAATCCACCCGCCCTCCCTCCTCCCACCACCTCCTGCACCCTCTTCCCCACGGGAGAAGCCACTGGGACCCAGGAATCCACTGCAGTTTCCTTAGGATGAGTTTTCCTGATAAAGGCCCCAATTCCCACCCCTGGAGTTCAGGATTTCGGATGCCCCGGCCTAGGTCTCTGCAGGGAAGGCAGGAAGGAGCCGCGGCTGTTGGCACAGGGGCTCAGAGGTCACACGTGTTCCAGGGCAGGCCAGGCCCTCCCCCGGGGCAGCTCCCTGCAGCATCATCCTTGAACGCGTTCCTGCGGGGTGTCCAGCAGGGGAGAGGAACGGGGATGTGAGCAGGAGTCTGTGTGGAAAGAATGTTCCAGCTCCCAGGGTTGAATTCCGGATGCGGTGGCTCCCACAGACAGTGACGTGTCAGTGCCATCCCTGTCTGAGGACAAGGCCCGTGAAGGCTCCTGAGTTCTCCCTGGATCCAGGGGTGTGCGAATGACAGAGGAATGGGACAGGCAGTGCCCTGGTGACCCCAAGGGGAGAGGCGCTTCCTCCAGGGCAGGCCTGTCCTGCCGTTCATCCTCACTCCGGGAGATGCCTGGGGATGGACGGAGACCCCTTCCCGTTCTCCCAGTTCTGCTGCCTCGGGAGCCTTCTCAGCCGTGCACGGCACCCTGGTCCCACTTTGCTAGCCCAGGGGCCTCTGGGTTCAAGTGCCCCTGTGGTGGGCAAGGTCCCCCTCCCCAGCCCAGCTCAGGCCTCCAGGCTGTGACGGGGTGCCGGCGACTGCCCAGTTTTGCCTCAACCACCCACATCTCGCCCTTGCACCCACAGGCAGAGACCCCGAGAACAACCTGGAAGCCTTGGAGGACTTTGAGAAGGCCGTGGGAGCCCGCGGACTCAGCTCAGAGAGCATCCTCATCCCCAGGCAGAGCGGTAGGAGGCACGGCCCTGCAGAGCCCCCCGTGTCCCTGCGTGGGGACGTCAGCAGAGCCGCGTTGCATGGGCGTGTAACTGTGCTGCGTCTGATTCTGGCTTTGTCCTTCCTGGGGTGGTGGAGCTGGTGGCTGATGAGGGGCCCCGGTCCTGACTGCATTCCTGGGGTCTCCTGACTCGCCTGTGCTTCCTTTTCCTGCAGAAACCTGCTCTCCAGGGAGCGATTAGGGTGAGTGAACAGCTTTAGAGGACATTTGAGACTCAGTGGCACTTCGAGAGGCCCTGGGGTCTCTCCCACCCACCACACTCTTACCTGGGTGGGAGACGCCCCACCTAGGCCAGGCAGGTGGGAGATCTTCTCCTGAGCTGCCTGCACTCGGGCACCAGCCTCCGCTCTTGCCCTGGGAGTGACTCCTGGGAAGCTGAGAAGCCCACAGCGCTGAGCCCACCTTTGCTGGCTGCTGGTGGAGACGGTGTCTACCCCCCCGCCCCGTGGGCGGGAGCAGGCAGGAGATTCAGGTTCCTCCTCAGCACCCGTCACCCTCAGCCGTCCTTGTGACCTTGCTTACCTGATGAGTTGCTCAAAGATTCAGCAAAGTGACAGGCGTGCCTGTGCTCGCTGTATCAGATGGACCCCTTGCTGGCTGCACGAGGGGACCAGAGTTCGGAGACTCACCCAAGGCATGGGCAGAGCCAGAATCCCAGACAGCATCGCTGTCCTTCCCGCACCCTCCCCTTGGCCTGCAGTCACCCTGATGCCTCTGCACTCAGCAGGGAGTTCTGTCAGCAGCCTGCGGGGGTGGTCCCTGCTCCATCTGCTCCAATCTGGAGGCTGGAGCCTCCACCTGCAGCCCCCAAGAGCCCGTGTGTGCCCCTGAGATCCAGCACGTGCCCCCCACACCATCGCCTCCAAGAGCCCGCATGTACCTTCCACCATAGCCCTCAAGAGCCCAGTGTGTGCCCCCACCGTAGTCCCCGAGAGCCCGCATGTGCCCCCACACCATGCCCCTGAGTGCCCACATGTGCCCCCACACGGCCGCACACGAGAGCCCTCATGTGCCCCCACGTCGCATCCCCGTCCCACCCTCCCTGTCATGGCCTCACTCACCCTCCCCCTTGTTTCTAGGGCAGGGGCACCTTGGCTCCTCAGCAGCCCAAGGACAGCACCACCCAGCACCTCCGTCGTTCACAGGGACATGGAAAAGCTCCCCACCCCTGCAGAACCCGGCCGGCTGCACCCCTTCCTACCACCCCCCACCTTCCCCTGGCCCTGCGCCCCCTCTCCTGGTTCTCCATAAAGAGCTTCAGCAGTTCCCAGTGACTCCGCCTGTCTGTGGGGTTCCTCGGGGTGGGGGGTGCTGGCTGGGTGCTCCTTTGGGTGCAGGGAGGGGGTGGGAAGCGGGAGGAAGGCCAGGGGACCAGCCTAGGCCCAGTTCTCCATGGTGGGTGCCACAGGCCAACAGTGCGAGGGGCCTGGAAGGGCCTGGCAGGGGGGTGTGTGCTGGCGACTCGGCCTGAAGGTTCGGGGGTGCTTCCTGCAGGTCAGCCGCCCACAGAGCTCAGGCTCTAGGGGTGGGTGGGGGCAGGGCTCTGCTCCTCCGTCCTGCACAAGTAAGACCAGAAGGCCTGGGACCAAGCGTAGCTGCCACCCCAGAGGGGGACTGGGCAGGGCCACCAGAACCCTCAGCACTGACGCTGAGTCCGTGAGGCTGGACGTGGGGAGAGGGGACAGCAGCTCAAGGCAGGGTGTGGCTCAGGCTTGAGCTCACCGGGGAAGCCATTCCTGTCCTCCGGGGAACCACACCAGCATTGCCGCCAGGGCCTGGCTCCACGCTGTCCCTCTCTGTGCCCGGGTAGGTTTGGGACAGGAAGTTCCCAGCTTGGGGGCAGCCACCGGAGGTCCCACCTTGCGCAGGCGCCTTTCCTGACCCTGGCGGTTTGTAGAATTTAAAGTTTCTTTCGATGGCGCAACATCGCAGTGGGCTGGGAGCGAGGAGAGGCAGACTCTTAGTGACCTGCTTCTCCCCAGGAGAGGGCGGCTGCCGGGCAGCACCACACGGGGTGGCTTGCGCCCGGGACAGGACAACAGCCCGCGGAGCTCAGGGGAGGGAGCGGAAAGGGTAGCGGGTGACCCGGCTGCCTGTGGCCAGCTAACATGAGTCATTTCTCTGCTGCAGGGCATAGGGGCTGTCCCTGATTGTCTGGTACCTGGCCTTGGGGCAATGAGGGCTGGTGGGGAGTGGCCCCCGAGTGAGCCCATCTGAATAGGGCAGGGTGGCTGTGTGGACCAATCAGCTGCTCAGGAAGGGGCCGGCCCCTAACCAGGGCCTCCGTGATAGGTCAAGACTGCATTTTAAAAAAAAACTCAGTTCTGGCCAGGCATGGTGGTTCATGCCTGTGTTCCCAGCACTTTGGGAGGCCGAGGTGAGAGAATCACTTGAAGCCAGGAGTTGGAGACCAGCCTGGACAACATAGTGAGACCCCATCTCTACCAAAAGAAAAAAAAATTAGCCAGACTTGGTGGTGCACACCTGTAGTCCCCCTACTCGGGAGGCTGAGGTGGGAGAATTGCTTGAGCCCAGGAGGTCGAGGCTGCAATGAGCTATGATCATGTCACTGCATTCCAGCCTGGGTGACAGAGCAAGACCCTGTCTCAAAAAATAAGATAAAAAATAAAAGAAACCCGATTCCATTTGGGTTCCACTTTCTGCATCTCAAGATGAATCTTGGTTCTTATGAGGTGTCTGAGGTTCTCACTCATAGCAGATGCCACCCATGCCCAGCTCCACCTCCCATCTGCCAGGCTCCAGGGGTGACGTGGCTACAGCGGGTGTCACCTGCAGCAGGCGGACGTGGCCACGCTGGCCGGCACACCCATCTCAGGTGTGTAAGTCTCTGCACCAGTCTTCAGACGCCACGCAGATGAGTGCAAGGAGCCCGTGCGAGCACCTGTAGCTCAGAAAGTGCCCCGTGCCCCACACGACCTCCACGGGGAAGCCAGAACCCCCCTCTCCCGCAGGGCCAGTGCCAGAGCCCAGGCCCAGGGACAGTCTGGACAACTGTGCAGAGAGGAGAGGATGATGGGGCATCAGTGACAGAAGAAGACAGACACCCCACCTGGGTACACCCCAGAAGAGAGAACCCTTCGCTACGTGTGGCGATAAGGAGAACTCTCATGTGGACCAGAGCGTGACTGCGCAAGAGCCGGAAAGGGAGTTTGGAAGGCGCTGGACTGGAATCCACCTCTTAGGGAGGCGCAGGGTCTGGTGCGGAGGGGCCATCGGGAGAGGAGATGTCCCTGGAGGACTGGTGGGGAAGACAGCGGGCTGTGAAGAAAGTGGTGAAGAAAGAGGACCGAGAGCCCCTTGGAAGATGTTACGGAAGGTCAGAGGGCGGCCCATCAGCCCTAACGGCTCCGTTCTTCCCAATTTCATCCCAATTCATGTGTCAGCTTTTTCGTTATCCCTCTGCATTATTTTAAAAGTGTCTGCTCTAGGGGCGACAATGACATCCTTAATTCACAGTGGACTTGGAGCGAGCACTGTGTCCTTTACTTAAAACATGAAGACCTTGTGACCCCACAGGTACGTCCTCCCCGCTCTGCCTCATGTCACAGACCTTGTGACCTCACAAGTGAGTCCTCCCTGCTCTCCCTCATGTCATAGACCTTGTGATGGCACAGGTGCATCTTCCCTGCTCTGCCTCATGTCACAGACCTTGTGACCTCACAGGTGCGTCCTCCCCACTCTCCCTCATGTCATAGACCCTGTGACCGCACAGGTGCTTTCCCTCATGTCATTGCTGATGTGCGACGCATCTACATATGCTGGAGACACCGCGACGCAGCACTGCAGAGCTTGCCTGAAGCCGTCCCACGTGTGATAAAGGAACGGAGAGGGTATTTTCTCTTTACCCACAGACCTTCCTCGCTGAATGCTGTTTGATCCTGAGTGTCCTGTTTCCATGCTGATCGCATCCCTCCAGACTGAAGAATGGCTTTTATTAGGTTGGTGTGTGCTCCTGGGTCCTGTAGTGTGTGTCAGCCCCATCCTGCAGCTGCTTTAGGGGAGCCCCCCTGCACGGGACAGCGTACCCCCAGATGGAGCACCACAGGCTGGCCACAGTCGGCCATTGGCACAGTGACCTCGACTTGGGCAAGCATCTTCCCGCCAAGCTTTGACCTCTGTGTGGTCTTCAAGGGTGTTGGGGGTGTTCTATTCTAACAGGTGTGGGGGCCCCTTCCCTGGGAGTTCCGGGGGATGTGGCTCCAAGGTTCTCAAAAGCATCTACCTGGATACCCCAGTCCCCAGCCGCAGGGCCTCACTCCTCCCAGCTCGGGGTTCTAACTGGCATAGGAGATGTGCTCAGGCTACAAATTTAGCCTTCTCCGAAATTCTGCCGCTTCTTCAATTGGTTCCTGGTTTTCCGCTCTGCCTACTTTCTGGCTGAAGGAGATAAGGGCCTATTTAAATGTTACTTTGGAGACTCGCTCCATTTAGGCTGCTATAACCAAATGCCATCATCTGGGTGGCTTATAATAAACGGAAATGTGTTTCTCTTTAATGTTGATGACGTCCAACCCATTCCTTCTCCTTGAATGAGTCACCCTTCTGGTGCTGTAGCTGAGAATTCTCTGCCTAACCCCAGGTCGTGACGGTCTCTCCTTTGTTTTCTTCTGAATGTGTTGTAGACTTGCATCACATGGAGACCTGGGAGCTGGCTTTGTGTGAGGCAGGCCTGTCGCTCATGTCAAGGACCATCGGTCTGCCTGTGGACCAGCAGCTGTTCCAAACCCAGTGGGTGAAAATATCGTCCTTTCTCAATAGAACTGAGCCATGGGTTCCATTAATACATGAGCCCTGTCCGTGTGGCTATTTCTGAATGTTCTATCCCGTTCCATCGTGTGTGTGTACAACCCTTTCCAACACGCATGCTCACACCCCTATACACACACATGTGGAGAAAACGATTTCTTAGCAGCCCGTGTGGCTGCTGCCTGCATCCCCTTCCTGGCCTGCCAGCCTCCATCCACACATTTCCTCCCACAGAGCCTGGTGGGCTGTGGACAGACACTGCCTCTCGGGCCCCACAGGTGTCCCTGAGTGTCCAGGCTCCTGCTGAGAAGGGGTCAGCCATGGAGTCTCATTCAGGGGCCGGATGGTCAAAGGGCCTGGAGGAACACCTTTTCCTCTCTGAGATCTGGTAGTGGGCTGGAATCCTGCCTGTCACTGGGAGAAGGTCAGCATGGTTAGGGAACACCAGAGCCTTTCTCTGTGGCCCCTGGGGGCTGGGACCTGCCCACTTGTCTCTGGCCCGCAAGGGCAGTGGCCCTGCATCTCTCCACCCTGGGGATGGCAGGACACCCCCCAGCAGCCCTCCCTTCAGGGAATGACTGGGTCGGGCTGACACCTATGGTGCCACCACCCGGGAGAATTGGGAGTGGGCGGGGAAGGCGGTGCCCAGGCCTGGGAAACACAAGGGTGCCATTGTGAGCCTGGCATCACCTGCAGCCCTGGCCTCCTGCTGGGGTCAGCCCTGGGCCATAGGACAGATGCTTCAAGCTCAGGAGTTCCCCCAGTCCCAGGAAAGAACCCAAGAACCCCTGGCTCAGAGAACAGTCGGGGCTCAGGTCAACAGGGCTCCCTTTTGAGCCAACCGCTAAGTCCAGCCTCTGGCGTCTGTGCCTCTCACTGTGCCTGCACGTGACAGGGTGACAGCGGGAAGACGCTGGAAGGCCTGAGGTCAGGCAGAGAGGGAGGCCGGAGTCACCAGAGCAATGACCGAGCCTCTCTTAGAGGTCAGCTCCTCCCGCCTCCGCCCTGCCTGCATCTCAGCTTGGTGCGTCCTCCCGCCTTCTCTGCCCCCAGATGCCTCTGATTGTCCTCAGGGAGCTGGTCCAGCAACCTGACCTGCCCTCAGCAGCAGTGGCAGCGTTCCTTAGGCTTCCCCTGAAGGCTGATGTCTTTGTTCCCTGCTGGAAAATTCTCCATCAGTTCATCAGCAAATAGTTCTTTCACCTCTCAAATCTTACCAGATGAATTTCTTTCTTAATAATTTATTGAATGTAAATTCATATAAGATCAATGTTTTAAAGTGAGCAGTTCAGGGGCAGTTGGTGCAGCTGCCTCCTCCATCTCGTCCAGGACACTCAGCACTCCAGAGCAAATCCCTGAACCTAGTGACCACGAATCCCTCCCAGCATCCCCCAATCCCTGACTCATGGTGAAACGGTGGGCAAATCGTGCTGCCTTTCTCAAACCTTAGTTCCCTCAGAGGTCAAAGTCATTGTTTGGAAAAAACTTCGCCTATCTTAAGCCCCTCTAAAAATGTGAGGTCAGGTATTGCTATAATATATTTGTATTTTGCAAGATTACCACATTAGAGCCAATATTAAAAATCAAACACATTATTTCTGAACACCTTATAAACTTTGAAAATCCACAGTACTCTTGGAACTATGCTTAATATCTGCAAATGCCTCAATGCCACCCAGTCCCTGGCCGCTAACCTCCCAGGGGCCATCACACCCTCCTGTACCTCCACACCCTTTCCATCTCTGAGTGTTGATCACCTTACAGCCATACCAGCATCCACAAGGCCAGAGGACCTGAGCTCCCTCTCTTTGCCTTTTCCCTGGAAAACACCCCTATCTAGGTTCTCTCTCTTCCCTACCCGTGAAGGGACAAGGCCCATTCAATTCTGAGAGTCATCCTCAGGCTCTGGGCCCAGGGGTTCTTCATCTTTGGCATGGGAGAACCCTGAGGTCAGAGAGAGTGAATCCCAGGGGGCCAAGAGATGAGGCAGAAGTTGTTGCTGGAAAGCCAGATCCTGGTGTTTGTACTGTCATGTATACATGTCCTTAGGATGAAGCTTCACTTGTTATCAGGGAAAGCATTTGGTAATAGCAGTGGTTACGGGACCTGGTGCTGTCAATGGTGTCAGGGAAAACACAAGTTCAGTCACACAATCATAATAGTTTCTATCTCATGTTACTCAATCTAATAAATGGATGAATAAATGAGTGGAGGATAGACGGGTTAATGAATGGATGGTGGATGGCGGATGGGCAGATGAATAGATGGATGGATGGATGGATAGATAGATTAATGGTAGATGGTAGATTGATGATGATGGATGGTTGATAGATGGGTAGATGAATGGATGGCGGATGGGTGGATGGGTGGATGCATGAATGGATGGATGAACGGATAGATGAATGTTGGATGGTGGATGGTGAGGAGAGCGCCCCCAACATGGGGGACGCGCAACGTCTTTTTACTTAATTGTTACTTTTACTTGAGACAGGGTCATTGGGACACCCAGGAGGCTGGAATGCAGCGGTGGATATCGGGTCACTACAGCCTCGACCTCCTGGGCTCAAGCAATCCTCCTGCCTCAGCCTCCTGAGAGTTCTGGAGGGACGCACATTTCCCAGGTTGGGCACCTGGACGGGCTTAGAGTCTCAGTGCTGTTGGGAGCCCCAGAGGGACCTCGGCCACAGCCCACCTCTCATGTCTTTGGTGACTTCCGTCCAGCAGAGGAGGGGGTGCCACTCCTCACGGGGGGTGCCTGGGCAGCTCAGGGAGGTGGGTGGAGTGTCTCTGGAATGAGGTCTTGCCCAACCCACCCTGCCCGGGACACCTTCCCTCACCTGCCAGCCTGTGAGTTTCAAGAGGCTGATCTCCTTCAAGCTTCTCCCGTGTGTCAGATAGAATTCCACTCGGAATTTTTCACTTTGCAATGAAAGGCCACATTAAAATCACGTGTTTGCCAGTAACGTCAGACTTTCAAAAGCTCATGGTTTGCTTTTTGACTAAATGTAAAGCCCTGGGAAGGGTCAGGTCCGGGCCCGGAACCAACAATTAAAGGGGCCCGGCTGAGGCTTCCCTTAGCTTTGCGTCCTCATCCCAGAAGCGAAAATGACCTGGCCCCAAATATGTGCCCAAGGTCGAGGCTGGTGGTCCAGGCACTCCTGGTTCCCTGTAGTGACGTATCCAGCTCTCAAGCCGTTCCATCCTGCCCCAGGGCACCTGCCCCCTCCCCACCCACTGTGACCCCATGTCCGCCTTTCCCCCGTCAGGGCTGGTCATGCTCTGGTCCACCTAGGCCTGAAGACAGAGCTCCCCTCTGCCCTTTCCTCACCAACCCCTGGTCGGCATCCTCCCCCTTTCCCCCACACAAAGGCTCTGGGGCCCGCCAGTCCCAGGTGGCACTCACAGCCCTGAGGCCCTGGGCCCCCCAATCCTGGACACAGGAGATGAATGAGGTCAAGTGGTGTGGATCCTTGGGGGGCCAGGAACAAGGTGGGAGCTGGCCCAGAGGCTGGGGCTGGCCTGTTTGTGTTCAGGACCTCTTGAATGTCTTGGGAAGGGGCAGTGCTGGTCACCTGCGGGCTGGTCACCCCCCAGTATCCGGGACTGTGGTCATCAGAAGCAGCACTCAGTGCAAGGGCATGTCCCCGACCTTGACGGGTCAGCGCCTGAGCTCTGTCCACTCCGGCCCGGCCATCCTCCTATCTCAACCCCCCAACATAAAGGCTTGACCTGGTCCTTTGGGCCTCACCAAACCAGACACTGTCACCACGCCCACGCCACTCCTCTACCTCCCACTCCGCCTCCCGGCCCCGCCCCCAGGCCGCTGCCTCCCACTCCGCCTCCCGGCCCCGCCCCCACGCCTCCGCCTGCCACTCCGCCTCCCGGCCCCGCCCCCACGCCTCCGCCTGCCACTCCGCCTCCCGGCCCCGCCCCCACGCCTCCGCCTGCCACTCCGCTTCCCGGCCCCGCCCCCACGCCGCTGCCTCTCTTGCTGCTTCCTGGCTCAGTCCTCCTTTTCCTGGCCCACCCCCGAGCCCCTCAGCCCTGCTCATAGATCCACCAGCTTTTAGGAAACTCGCACAGAATGCATTGGGCAGGAAAAGCCCATCCCTGCAGAGACGTGGACCCGCCCGCTGCCTCCGTTCACGTTTGTCACAAACCATCTCAGCAAGGTAGCATTCCGGATGCTCCTCAGCTTGTGCCCCCAGCCCAGCTCCCTTCCCAGCTCTTTTCCACCCCAACTCTCTCTCCCATCTGGTCCCTGAGCTCAGCCTCAGTCACTCGGTGCTAAAAATGACCTCTTCCAGTGTTATTTCAGCAATATGGCAGCTTCCGGGCCTCTCCCAGGCAACCTCACTCCCGAGGGTCCTGGTCCCAACAGGGAGATCAAGGTGAGTCCAAGCGTGCAAGCTGCTGCCATCGACTGAGCTCTGCTCCGGGCACTGTGACACCAGCTTTTCATGCCTATGTCGCTTACTGCTGGAAGAACCCAGTGGCGTGGGTACTGTTCTCATTTCTATGCAGAAACAGAGCCTTGGGATTAAGGATTTTGCTCGCCGTTGCACAGTCAGGAAGTGGACCAGGCTGGGGCAAGGGCAGATCCAGGCAGGAGGGGCTTCAGCAGTGGAAGAGTTTGGAGACCTGAGACACCACCTTGCCAGGGCTCTCCAGGGGAACAGAGGGTCTCAAGCTTAAGCTCACAGCTGGGTGGGAAATCTGGCAAAGGAAGGGCACCAGGCCAGCCTGAGAGTGGAGAGAGGGGCCATCGGAGAAAAAGAGAGCCCATTCTCTCTTCCCCGCCTTGCTTTCCATGTCTAGGATTTCCATCTGGTTCTTTATTCCCTTTTAATTTCTTAAAACTTCACCGAGGTGAAATTCACAGAGTGTAAAATAACCGTTTTGAAGTGTACAATTGTGTAGCAATGAGTCCACACACCCTGGTGCATATCCATGACCTCTTTGCAGCTCCAAAACATTCCCGTCGCCCCCAAAGGAAGCCTCATCTCCAGCAGCATTGGCCCCCCACTGTCTGTCCCTAAGGATTTACCTGTTCTGGACATTTCCTATCAACGGAATCATACAACATGTGACTTTTTGTGACTGGCTCGTTTCATTTAGCACGTTTTCAAGGTTCTTCCATGTTGTAACATGGACCAGTGCCCTGTTCCTTTTCTTTTTTTTTTTTTTTTTTTTTTTTGAGACGGAGTCTCGCTCTGTCACCCAGGCTGGAGTGCAGTGGCCGGATCTCAGCTCACTGCAAGCTCCGCCTCCCGGGTTCACGCCATTCTCCTGCCTCAGCCTCCCGAGTAGCTGGGACTACAGGCGCCTGCCACCTCGCCCGGCTGTTTTTGTATTTTTAGTAGAGACAGGGTTTCACTGTGTTAGCCAGGATGGTCTCGATCTCCTGACCTCGTGATCCGCCCGTCTCAGCCTCCCAAAGTGCTGGGATTACAGGCTTGAGCCACCGCGCCCAGCCCCTTTTTTTTTTTTTTTTTTTTTTTTTGAGACGGAGTCTCACTCTGTCGCCCAGGCTGGAGTTCAGTGGCCGGATCTCAGCTCACTGCAAGTTCCGCCTCCTGGGTTTATGCCATTCTCCTGCCTCAGCCTCCGGAGTAGCTGCACTACAGGTGCCCGCCACCTCACCCAGCTAGTTTTTTGTATTTTTTAGTAGAGACGGGGTTTCACTGTGTTAGCCAGGATGGTCTCGATCTCCTAACCTCGTGATCCGCCCGTCTCGGCCTCCCAAAGTGCTGGGATTACAGGCTTGAGCCACCACGCCCGGCCTAGCCCTGTTCCTTTTCATAGCTGAATAATATTCTACCATTTGAATAGACCCCATGCGTTTCTGCTTTTTTTTTTTTTTTTTTTTTTAGATGGATTCTTGCTCTGCCACCCATGCTGGAGTGCAGTGGCACAATCTCGGCTCACTGCAAACTCTGCCTCCCAGGCTCAAGCAATTCTCCTGCCTCAGCCTCCCTAGTAGCTGGGATTACAGGTGCACACCAACATGATGCCAGGCTAATTTTTGTATTTTTAGTAGAGATTTTTCACCATGTTGGCCAGGCTGGTCTCAAACTCCTGACCTCAGGTGATCCACCCACCTTGGCCTCCCAAAGTACTGGGATTACAGGCATGGGCCACCTTGCCCCGCCAACCCCATGCTTTTTATCCACTCATTGTTTGATAGACACTTGAGTTGTTTACATCTTTTGGCTATTCTGAACAGTGCAGCCACAAATATGCACACACACAACTATTTGTTTGAATTCCTGTTTTCAATTCAAGCAAAGTTTCTGGGTCATGGGATAATGATGTGTTTAACTTTCTAAGAAGCTGCCCATTGTTTTCCGCCGTGGACGCACTGTTTTGCTTCCTGGGTCTTTTCCATGCCTCCCATTTTGCTTCTCATCAGGTTCTTGCCTTTCAGTACCCTCTTGAGCACGTAGAGATATGTAGAATGGGTCTTTAACATCCTGATGTGCTGAGTCCACCGTCACTGTCATTTCTGGATCTGTTTCTATCGATTTTTCTCCTGCTTACGTCTCGTATGTTCTTGCTTCATTGCCTGCCTGATAATTGTTAACTGGATGTCATATTTACTTTGTGGATTTCACGTTGTTGGTTTCTTGACGTGGCAGCTGGCCTCCAGGATGGCTTCCCTTGTGTGATGCCTTCCATTGTGTATGGGCTGGACCTCGTGACCCACTTCTAATAGCTATGGCAAGGAGGAAGGGATGGCGTGTGAATCAGACACAGAGTGTGACATCAGCCCCACTGCTCCTCTTACCGCTTGCGGTGGGGAACCATGTCACAGGCAGCCCCAGGGAGAGGCTCATGTGGCAGGAGCCTGAAATTCCCACTGGCCATTGTGGCCCACCAGTTCCAAGACATTCTCCAGAGCCCGAAGTCCCGGCCCAGAACGAGACCACAGCCTCATTGCAGACCCTGAGCCCGAACCACCCAGCTGGGCCACTCCCCCACTCCTGACCCTCAGAAGTCGTTGTTTGAAGCTGTTGTGTTTGGAGACAATTTCTTATGCAGCAAGAAATAACACACTCAATTTTGTTTTTCGTTAAATAACGTTAGACTGTGTGGCTGTAGTTAAATTGTTTTAACATGTTGGATCTTCCCCATACTTGCTTTTAATTGTATTCGGATGGGTTCAGAACAGCCCTTGCTAACCCCGCTACCAGTGCAGTCTCTTTCTGAGAATTCTGCCTGCTGCCCCGTGTATTCTGAAGGCTTTCTCCTTGGCTGTGTGAGTTCTAAGAGTCACTCAGTTGACCAGTTCCAAGGTTTCCTCCCTGCCCCTCTGTGTGTCTCCTGAGCGCTCCGTGCAGCCTCTCCTCTCCGAAGCTTTGCCCAGCAAAGTCGAGTCCCTCCACCTCCCCACACTCTAATACTCTTCTCCTCAGTGTGTGTGGGGTGGGACCCTGGGATCTGTTTGGGTTCGTTTGCCCTGAGCCAGGCCTTGCTGGGGTCATATAGCTCAGTGCTCGTGTCCGTCTCTCAGGGATCACGATCCTTCGCTGCCTGTTGTCAAATATCCAGAAAGCACTGCTTCTGAAAGCTCCTGGGCTTCTAGTTGTTCAAGATGGGTAAATACGACACCTGCTATTGTACATTAGCCAGGAGGGGAAGTTTGCGTTGTGTTGTTATTTTGTAGCTTTTGTTTTGAAATAGCTATAGATTCATGGGAAGCTGCAAAAATAGTACAGAGGGGTACTATGTGCCCATTGCCTGCTGTGCATAGCTACAGTCAGACCTCACATAAGTAATGTGCGAAAATTTACATAGCCATACGTTGTGCAGGACCAGGAAATTGATGTGGATGTGGTCTACAGGTCTTATTCATATTTCACCAGTTTTATATTCGCTTGTGTGTGTGGTTCTATGCAAGTTTTTACCTGTGTAGATGTGTGTAACCACCGCCACAATCAACATATAGAATGGTTCCATCCCCACAGAGGTCTCTTGTGCTACCCCTTTAGAGACACACCCACTCCCCAGGCCCAGCCCTTGGCAGCCACTAATCAGCTTTCAATTCCTATAATGTCATTTCGAGAATATTGTATGAACAGTCATAGAGTATGCGACCTTTTGGGATTGGCCTTTTTCACTCAGTGTAGTTCCCTTGAACGTCCTCCTGCTGCTGTGGGTATCAGCAGTTCACCCCGTTTTATGGCTGAGTCTCCCATAAGGCGGATGTACTCGTCTGTCTAACCGTTCATTCACGGATGGTGGTTTCCAGTTATTAGCTATTACAGGCAAAGCTGCTGTGGACAATTGTACGCAGGGTTTTCTGTGTCCATTTATCCCATTTGTCTGGGATAAATGCCCAGGAGTAAAAGTGCCAGGCTGTATAGTAAGCATATGCTCAGTATTTTGTTGTTGTTGTTGTTTGACACGGAGTCTTTGTCACCCAGGCTAGAGTGCAGTGGCACAATCTCAGTTCACTGCAACCTCCGCCTCCTGGGTTCAAGCAATTCTCCTGCCTCAGCCTCTTGAGTAGCTGGGACTACAGGTGCCCACCACCACACCCAGCTAATTTTTTGTATTTTTAGTAGGGACGGGGTTTTGCCATGTTGGCCAAGTTGGTCTCGAACTCCTGACCTCAGGTCATCCACCCACCTTGGCCTCCCAAGGTGTGGGGATTAAAGGCGTGAGCCACCATGCCTGGCCCAGCATAGGCTTAGTTTTAAAAGAAACTTCCAGCTGGGTGTGGTGGCTCACACTTGTAATCTCAGCACTTTGGGAGGCCAAGGTGGGAGGATCTCTTGAGCCCAGGAGTTCAAGACCAATCTGGCCAACATAGTGAGACCCAGTCTCTATTATTGAAACTTAAAATTTTTTCAATAAAAGATAAAGGCAACTTACAATTTCCAGCATGGCTGTACCATTTTAGAGCCACTCAAAGTATGGATTTCTCAACATTATGAGAGATCTAGTTTCTCTGGTACAGTCCCTACTTTTCATTGTCACTGTCCTAATAGCTGGGCTGTGATATCTCACTGTGGCTTTAATTGGTGCTCCTTGATAGTCAATGACATTGAGCATCCTTTTAGGTGCTTATTTGCCACCCTAGATCTTCTTTGGGGAGATGTTCTTTCATGGTTTTTGCCCATTTTCTTTCTTTTTTTTTTTTTTTGAGACGGAGTCTCGCTCTGTCGCCCAGGCTGGAGTGCAGTGGCTGGATCTCGGCTCACTGCAAGCTCCACCTTCCAGGTTTACGCCATTCTCCTGCCTCAGCCTCCCGAGTAGCTGGGACTACAGGCGCCCGCCACCTTGCCCGGCTAGTTTTTTGTATTTTTTAGTAGAGACGGGGTTTCACTGTGTTAGCCAGGATGGTCTCGATCTCCCAACCTTGTGATCCGCCCTTCTCAGTCTCCCAAAGTGCTGGGATTACAGGCGTGAGCCACTGCGCCCGGCCTGTTTTTGCCCATTTTCCAGGTGAATTTTATTTTTGCTGTTGAGTTTTCAAAGTTCTTTATATCTTCCAGACACCAGTCCTTTGTTGGATATGGAACTTTGAAATGTTTTCTCCCCATTTGTAGCTTGTCTCTTCATCCTCTTTTTTTTGAGAAGGAGTCTCACTCTGTCACCCAGGCCGGAGTGCAGTGGCGCGATCCCAGCTCACTGCAGCCTCCGCCTCCTGGGTTCAAGTGATTCTCCTGCCTCAGCCTCCTGAGTAGCTGGGATTACAGGCACGTGCCACCAGGCCTGGCTAATTTTGTATTTTTAGTAAAACGGTGTTTCGCCATGTTGGCCATAGGTGGTCTCGAACTCCTGACCTCAGGTGATCCACCCACCTCGGCCTCCCAGAGTGCTGGGATTACAGGTGTGATCCATCACGCCCAGCCGTCTTCATCCTCTTAACAAGGTCTTTCTGGAGCAAGAGCTTCAGATTTTGATGCAGTATGATTTATCAGTTTTTTTTTCTTTTGTGGATCTTGCATGTGGTGTCAAGTCTAAGAATTCTTTTCCTAGCCCTAAGTCCTGAAGATTTTCTCTTACGCTTTCTTCTAAAAGTTGTATAGTTTTTTGTTTTATTTAAACTATGAGTGAATGCATATGTCAGGTGTGAGGTTTTAGATGGAGGTTGTTTGCATGGGATCGATTGCACGTGATGAATTGCTCCAGCACCATTTGTTGCAAAGACTGTCCTTCTCTTAGAGGGACTCCCGCTTGCCAGGCCTCTGGTTTAATAAAACATGACCAGAGTGACTCCATCTTAACATGAATAGCTAGACACTCACAAGGCACCTGTAAGGTTATATAGCGAGGCTATGCTGCTCGATACTGACTACAACAATTTCCTGTTTCTCTGCCTAAAGGACACCACCACCCCCATCCAGAGCATGATGTGCCAGGACCTGGGTGGGTCTCACAGCACATGAGCTCAGCGTGGGTAACAGGTAGCAGCTGTGTCCATGGTTGGGAACCCTGGGGAGCTGACAACTGGCTTCCTGTGGGCTGATTTTTAATTTCTTGGTTTTTTTTTTTTTTTTTTTTTTTTTTTTTGAGAAGGAGTCTCACTCTATCGCCCAGGCTGGAGTGCAGTGGCGCGATCTTGGCTCACTGCAAGCTCCGCCTCCTGGGGTCACGCCATTCTCCTGCCTCATCCTCCCGAGTAGCTGGGACTACAGGCACCCACCACCTCGCCCGGCTAGTTTTGTTTGTATTTTTAGTAGAGACAGGGTTTCACTATGTTAGCCAGGATGGTCTCGATCTCCTGACCTCATGATCCACCCGCCTCAGCCTCCCAAAGTGCTGGGATTACAGACCTGAGCCACCGCGCCCGGCCTTCTTGGTTTTTTTTATTTGTTTGTTTGTTGTTTGTTTGCTTTGTGTTTTTGAGACAGGGTCTCGTTCTGTCACTCAGGCTGGAATGCAGTGGCGGGATCTCAGCTCACCGCAACTTCTGCCTCCCAGATTCAGGCGATTTTATGCCTCAGCCTCCCGAGTAGCTGGGATTACAGGCACGTGCTTATGGTCTGAAAATAGCCACATTCTAAGCTGACCACCAATTATAACTGCAAAACATTTATGCCCAAACGGGGCATCTCCCACCAAGCCTGCAGAGCGTCCCGATGACCTGGGAGTGCAGCAGGCTGTCTTTGCTCACAGATAACGTCCACGAGCAGGCTGAGGCTGAAGGGCGAATGGTCATCCATCACACTAGGAGCCCCTATCTTTAGCAAGTGCATCTGCACGATCCAGGTTTCACTGTAGCCCCTTATAGCTTCTTACGAGCAGACACACTCACAGAGGACGGGCGTCCCTCCTCCTGCTTGCTGAGGTTGCCCGGCTCTGGTACCGAGTTCATTTCCTATAAACTTGTTTTCACTGTGCTTTGTGAGTCACCTTGAATTCTCTCCTGTGTGAGAGCCAAGAACCCATTCTTGGGGTCTGCACCAGGACCCTCTTTTCCGACAGCACTTCCCCCACACACTGTTCTTGCAGCTTTGTTAAAGGTCTGTTGTTGTAGGTGTGTGAGTCCGTGTTTGGGTTTTCTATTTCTCATTGATCTATGTGCCCATTTCTCTACCAATACCACACTCTTGGTTACTACTGATAATAGTGCTTGTCAACTTGGGTAGACTAACTCTTTACACTTTATTCTTCTTCAAAATGGCTTTAGCTATTGTAGCTCCTTTGCCTTGACATACAGATTTTGGAAAAAAATTGTCTGTATATCTATATACGGTGGGGTGCGGTGGCTCATGCCTGTAATGCCAGCACTTTGGGAGGCCGAGGTGGGCAGATCACTTGAGGTCAGCGGTTTGAGACCAGCCTGGCCAACATAGTGAAACCCCCTCTCTACTAAAAATACAAAAATTAGCCAGGTGTGGTGGTGGGAGCCTATCATCCCAGCTAATCGGGGGGCTGAGGCAGCAGAATCACTTGAACCTGGGAGGCAGAGGTTGCAGTGAGTCAAGATTGTGCCACTGCACTCCAGGCTGGGCAACAGAGCAAGACTGTGCCTCAAAATAAATAAATAAATATATATATATAAAATATATATATATTATATAAAAATATATAATATATAAATAGATATATGTGTGTCTCTCACACACACAATTATATATATATGTGTGTGTGTGAGACACACATATATCTATATCTATCTACAAAATAGCTATCTGTCTACAAAATATCTTGCTGATAATTTCATAGGAATTGCATTAAATCTCTAGGTTGAGTTGGGGAGAGCTAACATCTTTGCTGTGTTGAACCTTCCAGCCCATGAACACATCGTGCCTGTCCATTTCCTTAGGTCTTTGATTTCCTTCATTGGGTTCAGAGTTTAAGTCCTGTCCATCTTTGCTGAGATTCGTGCCTCCATGCTATATGTGTGATTACAAATCCTGAATTTCCAGTTTTGTACTCCTTGACACTGTGGGAACACGATGGATTTTTGTGCGATTGACCTTGCTGACCTCGCTCGGTTCTAGGAGGGGTTTTGTAGAGTTCTTGCAATTTTGTATCCGGGCAACGATGTCATATACGAATAGGGACAGGTATACCTCCCCCTTCCCAATCTGCGTGCCTTTAGTTACCATTTCTTGCCTAGCTGCCCTGGCTGGAATGACCTACTCTGACGGATGGGAGAGAGGGAGTGGACACCCGTGTCTTGCCTCAGGACTCAGGTACTCTCCAGGAGTGAGATACAGGCTCAATTGTAAGTTATAAAGTGATGCCTCCCTGTGGGAAAAAGTGCTTCCAATATAGACTGTGGGACAAAGTCTGAAAGTCCACTGCCTCCCGTTTCCACCCCGTCTTGCCTGTGAGTCAGAGAGAAACAGTGCTAGCACGCACTGTGCACCTGTCCAGAGGCTGGCTGTTTGAGGGGCACAGGTGTGCACGCCTGGGGATGGCTAAGTGGAAGGTACAGGTCAGGATTATGATCGTGCAGACAGCCACCCACTGGCATGACGTCTGTGGCATCCTGGGGCGGCCATGGGGCTCTCAGGCCCTCTGCCTGCCCCACAGGCCATACTCCTGCCCTGGGCACAGCTGTCCTCAGTGCTGGCCTCTGACCCGACATAGCCCCGTCCCAGAAGGTGCTCCCATCACTGGCTGCCAGCCTGGACCCGACCCAGGCTCCTCCCACCTGAGGCCCTGCCAGGAACTGCCCAGCCCGGACACAGAGGAGGTTCCCGGGTGGACATAGGGAAGAGCCTCCCATTGTCCCAGTGGAGGAAGCTGCCCCACGGGCCGAGGATGAGTCACGGGTTCGAGGAACCGCATGGCAAGGCTGTGGGCAGGGCTTTTGTCTGCCCTCCTCCTACATAAGGCCCTCCGAGCCCACACTGCCTCAGCATCCCTCTCGCTCAAGAGCTCAGAGCCACCCAGAGCTGCAGCCATGCCATGCCTCCTGCTCACCCTGGGCATGGCCCTGGTCTGTAGTGTCCAGGCCACGGACATGCCCCAGACCAAGCAGAACCTGGAGCTCCCAAAGGTTTGAGGCTGGGGGAGCGGGCGCTTTACCGTGGGAAGCCTGGGGTGGGTGGGAGCTGCGGGCAGGCGGGAAGCCCAGAATCTCAGAAACCTACAGGAGGCTCAGAATGGATGCCATGACATCAGGAACCCCTCAGCCCTGCTCTCCATCTTTAGGGTGGCCTCTCTGGTTTCCCAGCATCCTAGGTGACTCATTATTTGGGCTTTGGAACACTCCTGAGTTAGCACACACTGGTGAATTTCCATAGCCCAGCGTCTGGTAGACAACAGACCACCATCCAGTGCTCACTGTACCCATCCCAGTTAGATTCCACCCCGCCTGCACCGGTTGCCACGAGAGCCATGGTTGGGGGGAACCCCGTGCAGCCCAAGGCCCCCTCAGTTGGCAGGGACCTGGCACTCCATGGCCATGGCCACCAACAACGTCTCCCTCATGGTGATGGTGAAGTCTGCTCTGAGGGTCCACGTCACCTCGCTGTGGCCCACCCCCGAGGACCACCTGGAGATCGTTCTGCACAGATGGTGGGTTCCTAGTCATTGGGACTGGGGCTTGGCAGGGGCTCAGTCTCCCCCCGCAGGGGTCCAGGACTGGGTGGGGTGAGCCGAGCTGGACTTAGCCCCAGGCATTTTCTGATGCCAGGGGCTTCACTGTGGCCCCTGCATGAGGGTGGGGTGGAAAACCCGGGCTCCAGAAGTTCCCTGTCCCCTTGGAGCCCCTGCCCCAGGCTCTGGGCCAACAGCCGACCACACAGTGCAGCCCCAGGTCAGACTGAGGAGAAGGTCGGGCGACTGTGGGCTGCGGTGCTCCTGGGACCCAGGGAAGTTCCTGTGGTGACCTGATTTTAGGGGTGACAGTGAGGGCAACTCCAATTCAAGTGGCCACTCATTCTATTGTCACCACCTTCCAGGGAGAACAACAGCTGTGTTGAGAAGAAGGTCCTTGGAGAGAAGACTGAGAATCCGAAGAAGTTCAAGATCAACTGTGAGCATCCCCAGGCCCCAAGCGCTGGCTCAGTGCTGGCAGGCTGGCCACGCTCTCCCAGAGGCGGCTCTGCTGGGGGAGGAGGGAGTGGGGCCTGGCCTGTGCCAACTCTCTCTGCTTCAGGGAGTCAGAGTGTTTGCTCCAGTCAACCCGATACTGACCCCAAAGGCATATTTTACCTGGAGGGCGGGGGATGCACTAATTCTTGGCATGACAGTGGCTGGACGTGGGTCTGCACTGTGCCCAGGCACGGGCGACAGCCGCTTTGTGTGCACTGTTCACTCCGGCCTCACAACAGGCCAGGGAGGCTGCAGGCAAGCAGATGGGCAGGTGAGAAGGTGGGCAGGTGGGCAGGTAGGTAGGTGGGCAGGTGGGCAGGTGGGTAGGCGGGCAGGTGAGAAGGTGGGCAGGTGGGCAGGTGAGAAGGTGGGCAGGTGGGCAGGTAGGCAGCTGGGCAGGTGAGAAGGTGGGCAGGTAGGCAAGTGGGCAGGTGGGCAGGTGAGAAGGTGGGCAGGTAGGCAGGTGGGTAGGCGGGCAGGTGAGAAGGTGGGCAGGTAAGCAGGTGGGCAGATGGGCAGGTAGGCAGGTGGGCAGGTGGGTAGGCAGGCAGGTGGGCAGGTGGGTAGGCGGGCAGGTGTGCAGGTGGACAGGTGGGTAGGTGAACAGGTGGGTAGGCGGGCAGGTGGGTAGGTGGGCAGGTGGGCAGGTGGGTAGGTGAACAGGTGGGTAGTGGGCAGGTGGGTAGGTGGGTAAGCATACAGGTGGGCAGGTGTGTAGGTGAGCAGGTGGGTAGGTGAGCAGATGGTTAGGTGAACAGGTGGGTAGGTAAACAGGTGGCCAGATGAACAGGTGGGTAGGTGGGTAGGTGAACAGGTGATTAGGTGAACAGGTGGGCAGGTGGGTAGGTGAACAGGTGGGTAGGTGAACAGGTGAGTAGGTGAACAGGTGGGTAGGTGGGTAGGTATACAGGTAGGCAGGTGGCTAGGTGAACAGGTGGGCAGGTGGGCAGGTGGGTAGGTGGGTAGGTGTACAGGTGGGCAGGTGGGTAGGTGAGCAGGTGGTTAGGTGAACAGGTGGGCAGGTGGGTAGGTGAACAGGTGGCCAGGTGAACAGGTGGGCAGGTGGGCAGGTGAACAGGTGGGCAGGTGGCCAGGTGGGCAGGTGGGTAGGTGGGTAGGTGTACAGGTGGGCAGGTGGGTAGGTGAGCAGGTGGTTAGGTGAACAGGTGGGCAGGTGGGTAGGTGAACAGGTGGCCAGGTGAACAGGTGGGCAGGTGGGCAGGTGAACAGGTGGGCAGGTGGCCAGGTGGGCAGGTGGGTAGGTGGGTAGGTGTACAGGTGGGCAGGTGGGTAGGTGAGCAGGTGGTTAGGTGAACAGGTGGCCAGGTGAACAGGTGGGCAGGTGGGCAGGTGAACAGGTGGGCAGGTGGCCAGGTGGGCAGGTGGCCAGGTGAACAGGTGAACAAGTGAACAGGTGGGCAGGTGGGCAGGTGAACACGTGGGCAGGTGGCCAGGTGGGCGGGTGGCCAGGTGGGCTGCTGTTCCCATGGGCCTGGCTGCCTTCTGCTGATGGTGGGGCTGCAGAGCTGGCCTGGGCCGTGCTCCCAGCCTCGTTGCGGGAAGAGGGGCTACAGCACGTCCTGGCTCCACTGAATTCTCCCTAACAATTTGCGACATTTTGTTCTATTTTGTTAATTATTATTTTTTAAAAAATACAGAAGTGGTCAGGGTCTGGGCTCTCTTATCCCCTCGTGGGCACATTTTCCCAGCAAATACAGTTTGCTTCTTATGCTTGGGACTTGCCTCAGGCCCTTCTGACCCTGCTTGCCCTCCCCAGAATCGAGCCACTCTCCAAGGTCCATTTCTTCTCCCTCTTCCCACCCCTCTGCCCTGTTCCCGTGCCATCTCCTGCTGTCCTCACCCATATGTGACTTCTCAGCTGGAATCTCTCCAGGTCAGAGCCTGCCTGCCTCCGGTGTCTGCCTCTCCACTGCACACCTGGCCTCTCCCCTTCAGCCAGGGCTCCATGGTCCTCCATGTTGCCTCTTCTCTCCTTTTCTCCCTGGATTCCCTAGCCATGGCCCACCCCAGGAGCCACATCCCACGGTGTCAGTGGACGAGGAAGCCACTTAGTGTGGTGGGACGTCCACACATCTGCCCAAGACTCTGCTGAGATGGAGGCTTCATCTTCCTTTTGGTTCTTCTCTTCTTTCCCCAGATATGGGGGCGAACGAGGCTATGCTGCTTGATACTGACTACGACAATTTCCTGTTTCTCTGCCTAACGGATACCACCACCCGCATCCAGTGCTTGATGTGCCAGTACCTGGGTGGGTCTCACAGCATGGGAGCTCAGTGTGGGTGAGAGGTAGCAGCTACGTCCATGTCTGGGAACCCTGGGGAGCTGACAACTGGCTTCCTGTCCACCTCGGTGCCTGTGGGCTGATTTGTTCTTCATTTTTTTATTTGTTTGTTCACTTTGTTTTTTTGAGACAGGGTTGCATTCTGTCACTCAGGCTGGAGTGCAGTGGTGCGATCTCGGCTCACTGCGACGTTTGCTTCCTAGATTCAAGCGATTCTCCTGCCTCAGCCTCCCGAGTAGCTGGGACCACAGGCGCCCGCCACCATACCTGGCTAATTTTTGTATTTTTAGTAGAGACGGGGTTTCACCATGTTGGCCAGGCTGGTCTCCAACTCCTGACCTCAAGTGATCCACCCGCCTCAGCCTCCGAAAGTGCTGGGATTGGATTACAGGCATGAGCCACCAGGCCCGGCCAGGCTGTTTTTCTCCAGTGCTTCATCGAGTCCTCTGACAAAGCAAGGAGCTGATATGGGGCCAGTGGGACAGTCGCCAGTCAAGGGGCTGGGCTTGGTGGAAAGATTAATGCTCACTGGACATCCAGTCAAAACACCCTGAAACCTATGATGCTCTCGACCAAACGAAGGCCAGGAATACCAAAATAGCCACATAGGCACAGCCCTCCCCTGTGTTTCCCAGCGCACCGTTTCCTCTGAGATCACACAGGTGTCTTCTTGATCGGCCTCAGCCGTGCTTGGTGAGAGCCGGGCACTGGGGGAAGCAGGCACTGTGCTCTCCTCCCGTGACGCTGTAGACACCGTCCTGAGCTGTGTGGGCCCCAGCGATGCCCAGAGCTGCCCAGAGCGGAGCAGGGGGGCTGGGCCGAGGAGTGGGAGCTGGGGACAGGGAACCTGGAGGCCAGGTGGACAGAGCCCCAGAGACCGCCCTAGGAACCTACTCCAGACCAAACTCTGCCTGACCTGGGAGCACTGGGGCCTCCTTCTCTGCCCTCCCTCCTCAGGCAGGGCCCCTGGAGCTCCCCAGCTCTCATGGAAGCCCCAGGGACCCAGGACTGACCCAGCCTCCTCCACAGCCAGAGTCCTGGTGGAGGACGACGAGATCATGAAGGGATTCATCAGGGCTTTCAGGCCCCTGCACAAGCGTCTATGGTACTTGCTGGACTTGAGAAAGACGGAAGGTGAGCTCCGCCCAGGACACGCCCAGCCTCGGCTGGAGGAGAAGCTGCCTCATTCTCAGCCCGAGCCCCTTGCTGGCTCTGTAGTACTCAGGTCACTCCTTGTTGGCCCTTCCCTAGTTCTCCCCCAGCCTCCTGGGGTGCAGAGCCACCCTGAGGTGGGGTCCCACCCCCTCCCACCATCTTTTCACTCCCCTCTCTAGCCCTGGGACTGCTGTGTCCCCAGCTGTCTCTTCTCTCGCTGACGCCTCCACTCTCCGCTCTCCTCCCACAGAGCCGTGCCATTTCTAGGTGAGCTCCTGCCTGGTCCTGCCTCCTGGGTAATGTATCAACCTCGCCCACTATCTGCGGCTGCCTCTCTGGGCTGCTGGGACAGACCCCACTGTGTCCAGTTCAGGGCTGACCTTGAAGGAATGAGCTTTGGTCTGGTCTTACGATTCCGGAAAGCCAGGCTGCTGACTTCCCCGTCCACCAGCCCAGCGTGTGTGTTGCAGCCATTGTATAAGTCACGGGCTCGTGCCCTACAGTTGGACCTCGTGCTTTCTTTTGGGGTTGGTTGGAAATGATGGGGGCTGAAGGAGGAGGAGGGAGGATGGTTACATGGAAGGGCATGAGAAGCTGGGGACCTGTAGATCTCAGTAGCACATTCTTTCTTTTTTTAGATGGAGTCTCGCTCTGTCACCAGGCTGGAGGGCAGTGGCACAATCTCAGCTCACTGCAACCTCCACCTCCCGGGTTCAAGCGATTCTCCTGCCTCACCCCCCGGGTTGCTGGGACCACAGGCATGTACCACCACGCCCAGCTAATTTTTGTATTGTTAATAGAGATGGGGTTTCACCATGTTGGCCAGGATGGTCTCAATCTCTTGACCTCGTGATCCGCCCCCCTCAGTCTCCCAAAGTGCTGGGATTTCAGTGCAGCATTCTTAAGGGGGTGTCCTCAAGCCCACCCACGTCCTTCCAGGGCTCCCCCACAACACCCTGCTCTTCCTCCCTCTACTTAAATAACCCAACAGCTCGCCTCCGCCTCCAGGAAGACCAGACCCCCACCCTTCCACACCTCCAGAGCAGTGGGAATTCCTCCTGCCCTTTCAAAGAATGTCCACACCTCAGAAGACAATGGCGTGGTCATCCGTGTCCCCATCTCCTTCCTGCCGCACACCTGCACCGCGGGCGTGGGGGAGCTGCTCCCTGGGGGCAGTCTCTGGCAGAGATTATTAATAAATCCATGCAGCATGTTCTGTCTGGACGCACAGTCGCCGCTGGGTGTGGGATTCAGGGATGAGGGTCCGGGGTGGGGGACGGGCCCAGGCCACCGCCTGGCAGAGCCAGAGCTACTACAAACCCAGGGGCAGCTTCTGATGGAGAAAAGGCCTCAACTTTCTTATCTACAAAATAAAAGGGTCCACTTCCACAAAATTTATGAAATGTCTAGAAAAATACAACTTCCATCAGAATCGACGAGCCCAGAGGAAAACTCATAGTCTTTAATAGTGAAATGGGTTAGCAAGACAAAATTAAAATCAATGAATCTGTAATGAGCTCTTGTTAGAAAAAAAAAAAAAAAGCGTTAGAATCAGGAAAGTAAGAAAATAGAATTAAGGAAGATACAAGCAAAAATGACAAAATCAGAGAAACTTGTCAAATTCATGCACCTGTGCCCCAAAGTAGGGAAGGGGTGGGCTTGGTGGGATTTAGCTCACCTGTCACAAACACCTGGGAAAAAAAATTCTAGCAACTATCAATGACCACAGATTAAGAGAAAATTGATTACGAGAATCATAAGGGATTATGCTATTTGACTCTAGAATATATTTTTTACAATGCAAAAGAGATGCTTTCAGGCAAATATAAGCCTCCAAAACAGATCAAACTAGAGACAGAGTAGGTAAGGACCCTTCTCAAGGCAGACAGACATACGCGGTCAAGGGTCTGTGTCCCACCCCGGCCCCCGGCATTGACAGCAGCCAGGCAAGGGCCGGAGATCTCCTGCTCCTTTTGGGAACAGATGAAACCAGGCAACGTGAACAGTCCCAGGCATGAGGAGGGTACAAATCTTCCGCACTTGTTTCTAATGCTAGGAAAACATCTCCATCAAAACTCCACAAAACCAGGCCCTACCAGGAGTAACTAGCGCTTGTGTGGCAGTTAAGGAACTTCTGCACTGTCTGTATAACAAACAGGCCATTTTAACCCAGGCACGGGGGCTCACACCTGTAATCCCAGCCCTTTGGGAGGCCGAGGCAGGCGGATCACCTGAGGTCAAGGGTTTGGGACCAGTCTGGCCAACATAGTGAAATGCTGTCTGTACTGAAAATAAAAAAAAAAAAAAATAGCTGAGCGTGGTGGCAGATGATCCATATGTAATCCCAGCTACTCTGGAGGCTGAGGCAAGAGAATTACTTAAGCCTGGGAGGCAGAGGTTGCAATGAGCTGAGATTGTGCCATTGCACTCCAGCCTGGGTGACAGAGTGAGACTCCGTCACACACACACACACAAAAAACCCAAAAACCAACAAAAAACCCAAATAAGCCATTTCATCCTCATGACTGCCCACAGGGCAGAAGCCCTTAACTGTCTCATTGCCCAGCTGGTGGGTGGGACATGGACTGGCAGGGGGTCTAATACCCACACACACAACCATTGCACCTGCTGGCTCCATCACCACACCACCCTGTGTGTCTATGCAAACACCCTGAACAGTATCGGTGCCCCTGGAACCCAGTCACACAGTGAGAGAATCACAGAGGCGTCTACATTAACTTCACCCCCAGAAGACATCTCTGGACATAATTGTGTAATTAAAGGATCAAGAATACTATGATTTCTCCGCAGATGCTGGAGTCTGTTAAAAACATTAAAACCCCTTCCCTTTAAGTTCTCTACAAATGGACACAGAGTAAATTTCCAGCACATGCCATTAAGTGAGAAAAATGAGGCGAAGAGGCAGGTACACGGACTGTGCTGACTTTTATGTAAGAAAGAATGGAATTAAGACTGTCCATACCTATTTAGAAAAAGACAGGAGGAATGAACGGAAATTAATGAGTATGGTCATCTCTGGGGATAAAAATGCATGGAGAGGGTAGGAATCAAAGTCAACCTTTTGTAAATGTAACTTTCATGCAGTTTTAACTTTTGAACCAGTTGGCATTTTATATATTTAAAATATTAAATTAAACTAAAAAATAAAAGGCAGCAAGCCATAAAATGAAAAACAAACCAACAAATGAAAGTAAACTCCAAAATCGACAATTTCAGAGGAAAGCAACTGCTACAGGTAGTTGTTTTTTCTACTGATGTGTTTTTCTCTTCTGGCTGCAAAGCAATCCTGTGTGAGGCTTGATCACTTTCAGTGTTAGTGCCTGTAAACAGGGATGGAACACATATCCGCATTACAAAATCTTTGGTTGGACCTCACACACACTGTGTTGTTCAGAGGATGTTAATTGTCCTACATGACAACTACCTAGCTGCCTGCTGCCAGGGCCTGCAGAGAGACCCTGGCATCTCATTCACTCTGATGGTACCCCAGTTTATTCACACTTTGATCTCTTTTGGAGTATATTCTAGAGCAAAAGGTATTGCCAAGAAATCCTTACTTCAACCCAGTAGTCACATCCATGTTAGTAATGATATTAGTGTTCTATCAGTCAGAGCTCAGTATGAAACAGAGAGCACACAGGAGGTAGACAGTTGAGGGAGGACTCACATACGGAGGTGTGTCCTTAGGGAGACAGGAAAGGATAATGCCGTAACTTGGGGCTTAGGAGTAGCCAAGCCCTTTATAGTCACTAGAGGATAAGGGGGATACAGAGTTTTCATTGTGATTGGAATAAACAAAACAAAAAGGAGGAACAAAATAGTATCTAGAAGACATCACAGTCATTGTAGAAATGTAATAGTGGATAAGGGAATTATTTCAATTCAGGCAAAGCATGTCTTATGTAGGAAATAGTATGTAACTAGTTGGTATCAGTGTAACGCTTGCCTCATAAGATGAGTTAGGGAATGTCCCTCTGCTTGCAATTTATGGAAGAGTTTTTGAAAGGTATCGTTGCTTTCTCAGATGGTAGGATTTACCCGTGAAGCCACCTGGGGTTTGAGATCTTGTTGTGGGGAGGGTGGTATGGGGGGAGGGTGGTTAGGAAAATTTGTATCTACAAATTCCATTTCTGTAAGGTCAATTCTGGTGATCCATTGCTTCTTTAATAAACTTGGCCCTTTGCATATTTCCAGGAATTTATCCATGTTGTTCAAGTTTTCAAAATTATTTTCATCAAGTTATTCAAAGTATTTTCTTTTTATCCTTATAATGTCCATAGGGTCTGTAGTGGTGTCCCCTTTCCTTATTCCTGAGAGTAATCATTGGTGTCAGCTGTCTGCTTTTGCCTGATTAGTCTGGCTTGAGATTTATCCACTCCGTTAATCTTTTTGAAGATCAAACTAACTTTCAGTTCCATTGATTTCTCTATTGTTTTTCTGTTTTCTATTTCACTGATTTCAGCTATTACATTGAGTGTTTATTTCCTCCTGCCTGCTTTGTTTTAGACCATTCTTTTTCTAGTTACTCAGATGCTGGCTCAGATTGCTGAGTGGAGGATGTTCATGTTGCTGAATACAAATATTTAATGCTATAAATTTTCTCCAAAGTACTGGTTTAGTTCATCTCATATATTTTAATATATTTTCTAACATTTTTAAAAATTTATTTTCTTAGAGATGGGGTCTTGCTATGTTGCCCAGTTGGAGAAAACCCCTGGGCTCAGGTGATCCTCCTACTTCAGCCTCCCAAAGTGCTGGGATTCCAGGCAGGAGCCACCATACCTGGTCATATTTTGTTTTCATTTTTTCTCAACTCAAAATATTTTCCAATTTTCCTTGTGAAATTCATCCATTGGCTACTTAAATGTAGTTTGTTTTGTGAAAGGAAATTAGATCTGGGGACACAAACTCATTTAGCCAAAGGGAAATGTCAAGCTGAGAACTGGGTCACACAAAGCTGCCTCTCCACGTTGGTTGCTAAAGAAGATGGCTACAAGATGAAAGGCTACCCACCTCCCCCTATTTTGCCCACAAGGAAATTCCTGGTGAGCTGTCAGAACTTCACCATAGCGATGCAAGTTTTAGCTTATCTTTGCAGGTGCAGTCACCCCAGCCAGCCAGACACAAATGCATATCTGATCGTTCCACTGCCCTGCTGTGTCTGTGTTATCTTATGTAAAATGCAGATTCCCCACATTTTCCCTCTGCCCCTCCCCTTCCATTTGTATGAAAACTGTGTGCTTCTCGGCCGGGCGCGGTGGCTCAAGCCTGTAATCCCAGCACTTTGGGAGGCCGAGACGGGTGGATCACAAGGTCAGGAGATCGAGACCATCCTGGCTAACACGGTGAAACCCCGTCTCTACTAAAAAAATACAAAAAAAACTAGCCGGGCGAGGTGGCGGGCGCCTGTAGTCCCAGCTACTTGGGAGGCTGAGGCAGGAGAATGGCGTGAACCCGGGAGGCGGAGCTTGCAGTGAGCCGAGATCCCGCCACTGCACTCCAGCCTGGGCGACAGAGCAAGACTCCGTCTCGAGAAAAAAAAAAAAAAAAAAAAAAGAAAACTGTGTGCTTCTCAATATCCCACCCTTTCTCCTTTACATTTGGAGCCCTCAAAATCATCTTCAGAAAAAGGCATAGATCTGTTTCTTGGGTGCATCCTTAATTTTGGCAAATAAATTTCCTAAAATGATTGAGATTTGTCAATCATTTTCTTCAATTGACATCTTCATCACCAAATATTTGCAGATTTTTCCTATATCTTTTGCTATTGATTTCTATTTGACAAAAATACAATTCGTATGATTTCAATTTTCTTAAATTTGGGGGAACTTGTTTTATGGTCCAAGATACAACCTCCCTTGCTGCATGTCCTGTGTGTTCTTAGAAAGAATGTGCAGCCCAAGTTAGGTGGTTGATAGTTAATTGGTTGAGACAATGACCAAGCCTTCTATATCTTTATGTTTTGTCAACTTTTTCCTTGTTACTGAATGAGGAGAGTTGCAGTCTCTGGTTACAAGTGTGGAGTTATGCGATTCTCCTTTCAGTTATATCAGCATCTGCTCCATGCATTATAAAACTGGGATTCATTGCATTCACAAATTCTCTTGATAAATTTATCCTTTTAAAAGAATGTGTATTTTGCTGTTACTGCATGGAATATTCTCTTATTTTTACATGTTTGAGAGGCATTTGCAT